GTGGGTGTGGGCGTGTCTTCTTTAAATATATCTGCATCCACACCCACACATTCTAAACAATTAAATCTATATCAAGTTTATTTTCTGTTAATGAAAAAAAAGAGAGAAAAATTCTTCAAACAGCTTCACATAAATATCTGTAATTTCGTTGACAGTCATCAGCATATAAACCACATGAAGTCAAACTAACACATAAGTCATTATTATCAATTGTTTCTCTATTTATATTTTCTTTTTGTGAACACCATATATCTGGACTATCTAATTGTGTTATTTCACTATTATCATACCAATGAAATGTTATTGTTGTTGTTGATATACGTCGTTTCGTTCGATAATTTTGTTTATGAAATTTTTGTATATTAAAATGACTTGTTAAACCAATCCAATAAAAATAATCCAATTGTTCACCATCATCTTCATGTAAAAGACTATGTTTAAGTAATTCAATATCAGTACGAGTTAAATTTGATGCTAACTTCATAGTATATTCTTGTTGTTCATCTAAAGAATTTTCATCTTGACAATAATCATTTGTTTCATACCATGTAGATTTATGATTTGATAAACGAAAACAACGATTACCAACGGATAGATCTTTACATGATATACAACGATGTAAAACTGATGACCAAAAACAATGTGTTGAACATATACAATGTTCATTTTGACATGTTAAAAAAGAATTATTCAAACTACAATCTTGATCTATCAGGCATGATTTATTATATTTAATAATCTCAGTTGGTATTGTATTTATATCAACATTTAATGAAGAAACTTGAAGGCTTCCAAAACCATTTATTAAATGAATATCAACAGGTGAAATATTTTGTGCGACTGGTATTAATGTCTGATCATTCATAGATATTGGAGTATCAAGATTATCAACTAATACATCGAGAGTATTAGCAAATTTTCTTTAAAATAAATATAAATATATTTTTTTGAAAGTAAGAAGAATTTTATATTACCGTAAAGTATATTTATCAGGTACGAAATCTTCATTGTTTTTATCCAATTTTAAACAGAAAAAATTCGCTGCTACTTGATCAATTGATTTATTAAATAAAATTAATGTTGATTGACGATCATATTGTATAAGTAGTTTTTGTTCATCATTTTCATTAATTATTTGTCGAATTATATTTTGTACATAAGATGAATCAATGATAAATTCCTGATCAGTTAATTCACAATTAACGTAACATGTTATCATTGTTGAAGTTATATGTAAGAAGAGTATAGTATTGTTAGGAGTAGAAAAACCAGTTGATTTATCAGCATATAATAGAAACTGAGTACGATTTTCATTATTGAATTGCATATGAAAGAGATGTTCTTTAGGATAATAACGAATATGAAATGCCAATCGTGATACATTAAGAATAGTATTATTGAACTGACTTATATATGGTTTGTAAATAATAGTCAATGAATCTGAGATTGATACAAGAGGAGATTGTAGATGTTGAACTTTTTCAATAATATATTGCATTTTTCGAATCAATGGTCTTTCAATTATTGCTGCTTCATTAAGTGATTCTGTTTGGCTACATCCAAATTTTTCAAATATTTGTTCATGATAATATTTAATTCCTTCTGTTAAATTTTCAACTGTAAATGTTAAATTTTTTGTTGAATTGAGTAAATATGAATCAATTAATTTACAATTAACATAAGTTTCAAATTTAGCTTGTTGTCGTATACCAATAAATATTAAATGATTTATTGTATTATACATTAAATCAGCACGTTCAATATTTAATTTAATTAATTGTTCATTTCGATTATTAATATCAATTGAGTTTTCATATGTAGATAAAGCAAATGAAAGATTTTTTCGAATACTTAAATTTGTTGTATTAGGTAACGAAGAGATTAATGTAAAAAGTGGTGTATAAAAACCAGGAAATTGATATTTATTAAATATAAACCAATGTTCATCTGTCGATGATAACCTAATAAATATTAGTAATAGAAAAACTCGTATCATTGTTGTTGATGTTTTCGTTAATAGTTACTTCGCAAAGTACCTAACTGATAAAAAAAAGAATGTATTTATATATATATATATGTACGTTTGGGACTCATCATAAATGCATTGATAATTATACTATTGACTATCAAGCAATAAAAAAAATCGAAAAGTGAGGTGAAGCTGTCGTCCTCAATTTGTTCATAAATCACAATTCTAGGGTAATATGATGATGAGTTCAATTGTTTGTTCATTTCTTTAATGTATCTAATCATATATACGTATGAGTCAAGAAGTATAGAATCTTTATTAAAAGTAAGACTATAACGATTTAAATTACAAAAAATTATCAGTTAAACTTTCTCATACATTGATAATATTGATATTTGGTTTTGGTTCATTTTTAATTTAAAATCACCAGAACCTTTGAATTTTTTTGTTCTTACATACCATTTACCTTCGAATTGATTATTATATCTATTCCATTCGAGTTGAATAATAACATTATGTCCTAGATTTTGTGATATATTTCCTGAACCAGATAGATAAGTCTTTGTAAGACCAATTCGACGAGTTTGTGTTGAATATAGACCATCAATAGAATACAAACCAACATCATCTGATCCGGATCCTGTTATTTTCATCTGATGCATATCAAAAAATAAGTCAACTTGATGCGGTCCATGCCATTTATTGTATTGATGATATTGACTCTCCCATGTACCAGATTGAAAAAGTTTTATATCAATTATTTGTTTTTCTGCGTCAGATGAAGTTGTTTTATTAACAAATTTAGCATTAGATCGTCTTGGTCTACCCGCACAGCAACAGTATATAGGCAAGCAGATCAGAATAGCTACAACACCAACTAAAAAAATACAATGAGTAAAATTAGATTATGGTGACGGAAAAAATAAATTGTATAATTACAAAAGCCATATGCACCTCCACCACCACCGCCGCCTCCTCCTTGACAGTCAACAACTGTTATAAGACAGAAAATCCATAGAAATATCTGAATCATGAACGACATTGTAATATAAATGCAAGAAAACTAACGTTGAATTGTTATTGTTGATTTTTAAATGTGCAGATACATATATATATATATTTGGCAAGTATTTAAAGAAAAGAAGTATATATGTATACACATTGACTCATTTTTATCATTTCTGATGTCATTCTTATCTTCGCAACATCACGCGAAAGAGTTTATTTGCTTAGAAATCAACAGAACCCAAAATGAAAAATAAAACAGAAATAATGAAATAGTTTATCTATAATAAATTTCAAGGATTTAACATCGTATTTTTGATACTGACGATCGATCCATTCTGTCTATATATACGTGGAAGACGACTTGAAAGAGAAGTGAATACTTCTGATCTTGGTTGACTTGCTTTCTGTGCGATTTCATCTGCAAGTATTATTTCATTATCTTGTTGACCGATGAATGTTACACGAGTGCCAGTCGGATATTTTCTTGGTAAAGCTACCATTAGTTGATCCATAGAAATACGTCCAATAATTGGTACTCGTTTTCCATCGACGAGAACACTAGTTGCTTTGAATTGTTGATGCCAACCATCAGCATATCCCATAGGTATAGTACCAATCCATTGATGTTGTGTTGCTGTATATTCACCTACATAACCGACTTTGTCACCAGGATTTAATTGTTTGACGAGATCTAAGATAGAATGAAGTGATAGTGTATTTTGAAGTTGCATGGGAAGTAGATGTTTTAATCCTTCATTTGGTGGACCCATTAATGCTTTTCCTAAACGAACCATATTAAAGAAAGGTTTTTCTGGATGATATAAAGTGGCACCAGAATTTGCACAATGAATAATTTTATTCGTACGATTAGGAATGACATTAAGAAATGTATGAAAACTTGCTAGTTGTTGATGAAAATAACTTTTATTTTGCATATCTTCTGATGTAGCAAAATGAGTAAAAATTCCTGTACAATTTAGATTCGGATTGAGAGAAACCATTTTCATTACTGCTTCTACTTCATCAATCGTTGTCAATCCAAGTCGATTGAGACCTGTATCTAATTTGAGATGAAAATCGAACGGTTGTTGAACTATCCGAGCAGCTTCTTGTACCCATTCAAGTGAAATAGCTGTGACGGTGATACGAAGTTGACTAGTTAAAGATAAATACTGTGGAGCAACATAACCAAGAACGAGAATCGGAATATCATGTGAGAATTTTGAACGTATAGCCAGTGCTTCATCTAATGAAGCAACTCCTAACCATGTTGCACCAGCAGAAATACTTGCTTCCGCTATTTCTAACATTCCATGTCCATAACCATTTCCTTTTACAACAGCCATTAAATGTACTTTTTCACCAATATATTCTTTCAAAAGACGTACATTTGAATCTACTGCACTAAGATTAACATCTATCCATGTAGGACGAAAATAAGCATTTGTTGTTCTAAATAAAAGAATCCATAGATATTGATAATTATGATCATCCTTTATGGAATGATAGTACTTACGATGTGTTTTTTATGATTGTATTATACAGATTTAAATTTTTTGAAGTAAAAATTGATGCACCATAAGCCATAATACTCATAGCATTGATAATCCAAAGTAGATGGAATATATTAGACAACATTGTTTAATATCTTAAACTAGAGAATTTTGTAAAGTTTAACAAATAGATACGAAGAAAAGATGCAACGAAACATTGTCTATCTCGCAACTGCCTTACACACGTTCGAAAATATTTATAAGTGTTTCAATCGAGGTTTCAAAAAGGAAAGAGCATAAATAAATTTATTCATACGAAAACAACAAAAGTGCTGTTTTCGTTTTTTATCGAAAATCCTCAAGAAAGAGCATATGCAAATTAGGTAACGAAATGTCATCGACGACAAAATTTCTAAATAATTATGCATACTAATCATCAATCAAAATATTAATCTCCTTCACATTATACATTCTCACATATGAGACCGACAAAATATCTAATAGAATCGTGAATAAATATAACAATAATGAAATAAAATATTTTATTAATTATAATAAAAATATTACATATAAATTTGATTCAATAAAATTTAGTTGATAAAAAAAAATCGTATGTTTAATTAAAGAAAAAAAATGTTTATATCATGTTAAACTTATAATAAAGTATGATTAGTGCGGCATATTTGTTGGAGATGTTGTTGCTGCTCTTTTTTGTACTCTACCAATCACAGTCATATTGATTATAGAATGAATAATAGCAATCACGAATAAGACTAAGATGACTGTTTTTAAATTCGTGGCTAATATTCCATCACAAAAATATGAAATATACACTGAACTACATCGGTACGAGGCAGAGATATTCACAATAGATAAAATAAGCGCTAGTATACAAAGAATCAGTGTAATAGTAAATGTTGTTATTAATTGAGTCAGATTGTGAGATGTCTTGCATGCTACAATCAACATACTAATCCCACTACCAATAAGAAATCCACCTGCCCAAATACCACGATAATAAGTCGAATAAGAATTAACGATGATACCAATTTCTAGACCGAATGCCATTATACCCCATATCAAACAAAAGATACCTGAAATGATTAAAAATACTTTAGTATTAGAATCAATGGGTGTTAATCGCATATTGTTCCAAAATCGATAATTTGGTGTAACAACAAAACCTTGCTGTTGATACATCGGTGCTTGACCTGGATATCCTGCACCTGGTGTTGGATAGCCACTTGGTTGTTGTGGATATTGTCCATATGGTGGTGGTGCAACATTGTTAGGTCTTTAAAAATAAAACAAGATTTTTGTTTCAAGAAAAAAACATTCAATTTTGATTGAAATCTACTACGTACGCATACATATTTCCTGGTCCGAATTGTGGTTGATTCATTGGTGGATATTGATTGCCATAGTTATTATAAGCTTGTTTATTTGGATCATATTGCATTTTGGTAAAATCTTCAATAGACTAAAATAAGATTTCTTTGTGTAATACTTTCACAATGCAGCTATATAAATGCAGTTTTTTTTCATTTGTTGAGTTACACATAGATAAGAGACAGATGTATGACGACAGCAGTAACGACGATAACAAATTTATTCTCGAGCCTTTTTCTATCGTTAAGTGTATAAGATAACAATCTATGAATCATTTTACGTAAATAATTGTTAATCTTTTAAAAAGTAATTATTAGTAATATACTATATGTATCATAAATAAAATCTACCATCTTCGATTAATTTTAATAAACTGACCTGAATTTTTAATAATCAGTTTGAAATAATTTCGTCTATTGAAAATAATAATCTGTGAAGATGAATTACATAAATATATGGTCACAAAAGTAAAATTTATTAAAGTATGTTGAATAAATTGGTCTCTGGTTTTTTCAGGTATATACAATTGGTTTTGTTTTTTTTTCATTGGAAAAAATAGATTGAAAATAGTGTAATGATATAAATGTTTCGTGATTAATTATAAACAGAAGAAAATACATATAAGAAGATATTAAGTTTAATAAGTGTTTGTAGTAATTTTGATTAATTGTTCTATTAATTTTTGAGCATCATCTATTATCTTTTCATCTCGATTATCACATACCTTTTGAAAGCAAATTTCCAAGATTTCCGTAAATGTTAGATCATCTTTATTTGGAATTAAACTTAATAAACTTGGTATGTATAATTTTAACCAATTAGCTATCGTTGAATTATAATCTAATATAGGTTCATCTTCATCTTCTAAATTATTTGGACAATCAAGAAGAAGTTGCGAAGCAAATAACCATGGAAAACTTAACATACGTTCATCCGTATCATTGTCATCAGTATAAGCTACGCAATAGCAAGCAGCTGCTTTTGCTTTTTCTTCAGAAGCCGACATAGCATCATTGAAAAATATATGTCGCATATCATGAAAAACGGCTTTGAGTAATTGCTGTACTGTATGTTGAATATCGCTACGTTCATTAGCATCCATATCACAGGATTCAGCACAACAAAATAGATCAATTTCATTAGAAAATCCATAAGCTCCCATAATTTCTAATATTTCATATCTATATATACGATATAGGTGTTGAGCAAAATCGATATATTTTTCAAAGTTTTCATGAAGAAGTGCTAAATCAATTAATACTAGATAGTTTTTATCAAAATTTGCATTTGAAAAAGTATCTGTAAGATGATTAGCACTTTGAAATAGTTTTCCTACCAGATTAAAAAAGTACAAATGTTTTTATACTTATAAACAGTTTTGATATATATATATATATGACTTACCAAGTATTTTTTTTGATTTATATGGTTTATAATTTGTTGATTGCATAAAATCTGGTCGAGTTTTTCCAGCTTTTGAAATAATTTTTTTTATTTTTTCTGGTGTATAAGGGTGTTGACCTGATTTTACACTATCCAACTCTTGACTAATACCAGCAGCTAACATAACAGCTTGATGACTGTTGATACCAAATTTATCCACAAGAACTAGGTGAATAGTACTTAATCTTCCTAAATTATCTTGTTCACAAATATCCATGATAACTTTCAGTCGATCATTGCGGTTTACTACACGTTCCAGAGGTTTTGGAGTTGGTCCAGAATCATAATTATGTGGAGATGGATTAGGTGTA